AGCTTTTTCAACAAAGAAAGACAGGCCAACAGTTTCAAAATCAACAATGACTTCAACAGGCCAAATATTCACGTAAAAAAAAAAAAGAGTCTAAGAATGATTGACTGACCTCTAACACCGATATATTGCTAATAACCTCTCAACTGATAGGCCTCTTCAGATATCTGACAAATATTACCAGAAAGAAATAATATTTTCCCCCATCTACGAGTACAAATTCAGGGAACCATATCTGTAGGGATACAAAAGTTCCAAAGAAGGAAGATTATACTGAACCTATATTTTAACATTCACAAAAGAACATTCAAAATTTACAATAATAATGTGCACTTGCAAACTAAACAACTAAAGCAACCCTTGTGATATCACAGGAAACAGGAGAAAGATAGATAAGGACTATTTTCTCAAGTAATCAATAAAAGACGTTTTTTTAAAAACCATGTGCTCTTTTTATTTATTTATATGTGTGATGACTAATCAACAGAAAGAATCAAAAACCCTTTCAACAAAGCAACAGAAAATTGCGCCAATATGTCCGTAATATTTTCTGGTCAACAGCTTGAATAGATAGTGTGTAGCTGATGTTAAATGCTGTAATTTATTTACCAACCACTTAATTATCATACAGTTAATAATGCATGTTTTCGAGCAAGATATCAATTGTATGTGAACTGTATCAAACTTAATTATGTTCTATGTTAGACCAACAAATCACTTTAGATGCGAAAAAAGACCCAAATGAGTCTAGCAAAACAAATGATATTAACAATGCAGGAAATGGTACACAACAGAGCTAATGTGGCAACTAGCAACTAAGGAACTTGAATGTTTTTAGACACTAGCCTCATAAAACCTGACACCGCACAACATTATGAGTAGAGAACCTTCTATTCACAGTTAGGATGGTCTAGGCAGCACAGCAAATCTCTGAAGCAAGATCAAGCACAGATAACTCACAAGCTAGATGTAACGTGAATGTTAATGAGAAGAGATGTCTGGACAATGACAAGTACACACTGTAAAACAAGCAACACACAGGCTCAACGTTTCACCCTAGACAATCTTAGGAGAAAACAGTTTTTTTCATCCTGGCAATATCTAAAATAAATCTGGAAATTTCTTTTTATATTGGTCACGAAAACATTTTAAAAACAATTATGGATTTATATAAGTGACTCTCAACCTTCCCAAATGCTGTGACCCTTGAATATAGTTCTTCATGTTGTGAAGACCCCTAACCATACCATTATTTTCACTGCTACTCCATAACTTTAATGAACATGTGTTTTGCGATGGTCTTTGACCACCTTTGTGAAAGGGTCGTACGACTCAAACAAAAACCAAAAAAGTCGCGACACACTTGTTGGGACCACTGATTTATACTGTTACAATTTTATTTTATATAAATGAAGGGCTCTAGTCAAATATGAAAAAAAGGGGGAAATTAAATGTATTTCACTTCCTGTGCCTAAACATTTTTTTTTTATCAAATAAGGCATACGTGACCCAGTGACCTTGTTACCTATTGAACAACTATGTGAAGGCTATTTTGAGTAAATTTACTCATATCCGGACACGCCTAAACACTGCACTAACGCTAACTAAAACCATTGCTGTTAATCAGGCTTCAAGGGATAAGTAACTACAGTAATGCTGGTAATAAGTGGCGCTCACCGGATTTATAACAGACGACAATGAAGATGACAAAATCAAATGGATTCACATCTTCTAGCTAAACAGAAGTGGTATTAATGTAAGCTGTCAAGTTAATTCAGCCAGCAGTTCTAGGCAGACAACGGGATATCTTTCTACACAATAAAACTTGTTGCCAATAATATTTTCAGCTGTCAGTTGCAAGTCAGATGTTCATCCAAATGTCATATAATAAACTGGCTGCAAATCAGACTTTCATTCATGTTATACAACAAACTGGCTGCAAGTCAAGACTTTCACCCATTCGTTATATTACACGCCCCCCCCCCTTTTCCATTCTCCAACGAACATTTATACACATAAAACATTATTCCCACACTGCCTCTTTCCCACATGTTAGTTTATGCCTTCTCAAGCTCTGTTGATAGGCAAAAGATCTTCCACACTGAACGCAAGTGTGGGGGCGCAATCCATAATGCCTAGTGTTCATATGACCCTCATAATCCTTCTTTCCAGAGAATGCTTTTCGGCACTGAATACAGTAATTTATGTAGGACTTCTGCCACATTTTTGCTGTGAAAGAAAGGAAACAGAAACCAATGGACAACCAACAAACTACACAGCAGACAAGTCATATTGTTAACATACTGATAATAAATGAAAAATGTACAAATTCTGCAATGAATGTATTTGTTATACGTTTTAAAATCTCGAGGGGAAACGCTCTGTAAAACAAATACATGAGACAATGTGCAGTAAAGAACAAATGGTTACTGATTAAGGAGTTTCTAAACCAAAACAACTGCAGGAACAGAAGAAAGCTGACATCAGGTTACCAAGAGACTGACCCTGTGACAATCATCAGTACATTTATTCAGGCCGCCAACAACTGTTAAAGTATCTTTTTTAATGCCAGTTGACGCTGGACACATTTTTTTACAGACCAATTGACTCTCAGTGGATACGGTCAATATCATACTGGCTGCCTTTGACTTCCAGAAAATTTTCTGGTACCAATTTTAGCTAGGCTGACCTGGGAGTCAATTCTGAATTTTTTTTTCCCACCATTATGTGAATTTGAAACCTTCATCACAGGGCTAATAACTATTTTTGATATGAAGGCTAACTGCTGAGGCAGCACAGTGGGTGATATCAGCATTATGCCAGCCCCCTTTACCTCCCACAAAATTACCTGGTTTTAGGCAAGGTCGGCTTGAGAGCCAAGGCCAGTTCGGAAGGGAAAAAACACACCCTGGATTTAGATTTAAACCCTAGACTTTTGAGCCAGCAAAAATTGTTAAACTGCAGGCTAACCGTTGAGACAACACAGGCAACACATTCAAGCCCCATAGTGACGCCAAAATTAGCACAACTTAATACTGAACAGTCTTTACTTCCGCTTGTTATGAATATTTGTCTTGACATAAGCTATTACTTCCGCTTGTTATGAATATTTGTCTTGACATAAGTTATTTCTTCCGCTTGTTATGAATATTTGTCTTGACATAAGTTATTTCAAGAAAGGAAAAGAAATAAGAGAAATGTCTGGACAACTGCTGTATCATCGCCTACAAGACTAAAAAGATGTACTGGATATAAACCACTGGGCATGAAGCAAGGAAAATGGTCCCGGATCAAATTCTGCAATTAATATACCATGTAATGATGAGAACAGTTTCAAATATTTGTAGCATTTGTTGAGTTTCAATTTCAGTGTCTGTGATATATGTTTGTTAACCACACTGAAAAACAGATGACTAAGAAAACATGCACCAAATATAATAGATGAATTCAAGAAAGACAGAAAAATAAGAGAAATCTCTGGACAATGTTAGGTATCGACATTTCTAAGACTAAGAAGATGGGCATAAATTGGGTATATCCTAAGAAGTGGACAGAGAATCACCAAACAGGCAAAGAGAAGAGAACCAAATGAATTCAGGAAACATCCTATAGACAACCCAATCAGAACGTTGATGGGAGGTCAAATGTGTTGGGCTGGATTTTATCTGCAATATCGTTAAGACAAAAAAAGGAACAGAATAAACTGCCAGCCCTATTTAGTATATAAATAGCACAACATGATGATGGTCATAAGTCTATTTACATTTTACCAAAATACGAAGTGTGAAAACACAGTTAAGGGGACACTGTATCTACCAGAGTATGTGGACAACTATGAAACATAACAGAACAGCAGATACTTGGTTCTGACAGCCAGAACTTGTTAGAGGGAAAGACCATAAACAATCTATGTGGACGCAGAAGGTAAGAGAAAATCACCACAGTGTTTTTCCAAGAATAAAAACATGAGCATGTTAAAAATATGAAACTGAGGACCGACATGTTCACAAGCTTCATACCACAATATTCACACTGCATAACCTGACATGACAAATAGTGACTGATCTACGTTCAAACAAATTAGTTAAGCATGCCCAAAACAATAATGCAAGCACATATTTGATTCAGAATGAAACTAAATTTTGTCCAATGTCTCATGTAAAATATCAAAACCTCCTCTATAAATAAAATAATGTTCACTGCTCACATAAAGCAATATGAGGGCACTGGCTCTGATATGTGATTGCTGCATCAGTGTCTACTTAAATATGGCCATATGTAAAACTTTGCTCACAGATTAAGGTATTATGACACTGGCTCTAATATGTAAATATTCTTGCAGTGCCTACTTAAATAGTGTCCATATGTAGCACCACATTGCCTGATTGAGGCATTACACATTTGGCTCTGATATGTGAATGTTCTTGCAGGGTCTACTTAAATAATGTCCATACTTAGCACCACGTTGCCTGGTTGAGGCATTACGCATCTGGCTCTGATATGTGAATGTTCTTGCAGGGTCTACTTAAATAGTGTCCATATGTAGCACCACATTGCCTGATTGAGGCATTACACATCTGGCTCTGATCTGTGAATGTTCTTGCAGGGTCTACTTAAATAATGTCCATACTTAGCACCACGTTGCCTGGTTGAGGCATTACGCATCTGGCTCTGATATGTGAATGTTCTTGCAGGGTCTACTTAAATAGTGTCCATATGTAGCACCACATTGCCTGATTGAGGCATTACGCATCTGGCTCTGATATGTGAATGTTCTTGCAGGGTCTACTTAAATAGTGTCCATATGTAGCACCACATTGCCTGATTGAGGCATTACGCATCTGGCTCTGATATGTGAATGTTCTTGCAGGGTCTACTTAAATAGTGTCCATATGTAGCACCACGTTGCCTGGTTGAGGCATTACGCATCTGGCTCTGATATGTGAATGCAGGGTCTACTTAAATAATGTTCATTTGTAACACTACGCTTTTAGATTGAGATATTATGACAGTGGCTCTGATATGTGAATGTTTTTGCAGTGTCTTCTTAAATCATGTCTGTATGTAAAACTACGCTCACAAAACGGACACACATGTTTCTTCAATGTATAACTGCCACCACATACATTCTGGTGTCTTTTGAGTGTGGAGCGGTGCATGAAGGACAGCGAACATTTTTCACAACGGAACGGTTTCTTTGTGGTGTGCACACTCAGATGCTCGACCAAGAGGAGTTCAGAATCAAAGCCTTTATCACAATAATAGCACCAGCAAGTATGGTGCAATGCTTTCTCATGGCTAGGAGAGGAAAGTACATGTGCATCTCTGTTTAGTGCTGGGAAAGAGGACATATCCCCTGTCAGTCTCCGATTTTCTGATCTTATGTGGAAGGCATATCTTGCTCCCTCTGAGGACAAAAAAATGCAAAGCCAATCAGGAGGCCCACTCACTCATTAAACTTTCTATGTGTTTATGTGTTGAATACGCGAAGACAGGATTTAAAAACAATTAAAGATTAACAATTCATTTTAACTGTCTAGATTTAACAGTTAAGTGCAAAAAAAAAAACATATGAAACTGCCCACTTTAGATTTGAACTAATGTCTCAAACCAAATGAATGGCAAAAATGGGTTAACATAAACATCATGAAATAAACCAGACATATGCATGTCACACAGTACTTTTTTTTGGCTTTTTTTTACACACAAAAATGTTTATGCAATTTTTTTTTAAACTGCTCTATTTTGTGCTTCCTTGCAATACATGACTACAAGCACCCATTTTTATCAAGAATGTCCCTCTATTAACTAACTAGTTTTATGATTCATAAAGAATGCTAGCAGAAATGAACAGCAGTAATTAAAAAAAAAAACATGCAATTTCTACAAACATTATTTGTTTTAAAGTCTTGCTATTGTGAACTCTCTGTGTGTGTGTGTGTGTGTGTGTGTGTGTAAAGCTTCAATCAGAATATGTACATCTTTCTCTTCTACCCCTTTACAACCAGCCCACTCCTTTCAGCCCCACACATCCAATTTCAGTAAAGCTTTAATTAGTCACCTTTCACAACATGTTTATTGTTATAACTGCACCCTATCATAGGACACAAGTTGTTTCTGGTATTTTAAGGACCTACCCCGGCTGTCATCAGGAGCCCTACATAAATAACCTAATAGTTAAAGAGGGTTTCTGGGTCTTGCACCTGTGTGATTCTCATGAGAATGATAGCATTTGTGGTAGTCACTCGCTGTGCAGTCCTGGTCAGTAATTGTTTATAGTACCTACAAAACAATGCGCGTATTCTAATTTCAGTACCTACGCAGGTTCTGAAATGTGGGTTCAGGGCCCCATTGGGGGGGGGGGAGGGAGGGAACACAGTTTAGATCCACTGCCTCCCCAAAAGGCATGTGGTAAGAGTCGACTAATTGGGAGCTTCCTTCAAAGTTAGAGTACATCTGCCTGAGAGGCAAGGAACCAACAGTCTGCATGCAAATGAGTCAGACCTGTGAAACGAATTAACACGCAACACTCAGGTTCTGGAGCAGGACTAAGAGTCTAGAAGCGGATGAACAACCAGAACTTTTCGCCAGAGTTTACAGCTGGTGAACGTGAAGAAGTACTTATGTAGAAAAAAAAAATTAAGTTATTATATCGTCCATAAAAAAATAGTTCAGAATTGTAAAATACACACATGTAAATAATCCACTGTATACATTAGGAATTCACCATTTGAGTTAAATGTCAAATTAGGTTTACATTATAAACAACAATGACTGCCTTCCAAGCCCTCAAAAGCATAAGTGGTCAAGATTTTGAGATATAAGGCATGAGCTATAACTGTCCGGTTACCAGCACTGTTGAAAATTTAAAAAAAAACGCAACAAATAAGACAAACTATACCCAAATAAACAGAAGCAACTGGCTGTTAATTACCAGATGAACAGAGTTTGAATTCAAAGTGATTCACAACATCTGACTCAACAATTCACTCAACAGTTAACAACCTCTACAATTCTGCAGCATATTTCAATCAATGTTCACGCAACAAGTTTACGCAAAAAAGTGTACTACAGATAAAAGGGAATTAAAGAGCTGAACTGCATGTGAAATGTTCAAAGCAGAATTTATCCATGACCAAATGTCTGAAGGTTAGGCACAGCCTCATAAAATGTGTACTGGGTGGTGTGAGCATGCATGACCACACCACCTAATGGATGCTGTTTGATATAAAAAGTCTCCAAGCATCATACTCTCTAAATAATCTCTGTGTGTGTTCTGAGGCCCTAATGGGTGGGGGTGTCAGACCAACTGCCCCTTAACAAGCAGGTTGTAAAAGGTAACTATCAGAGGACTAATGGGAATCCGATGTGGTGGGCTCAAAGGCCTAGTAGTAAACCAAACCTCCATGTGCCAACCACACATTTAGGGCTGACACTGATTTACTGACATGAGAATCGATGTCATAGCACACCAGGTAAATCCATAGATGCCGTCTCCCACAGCAAATGTCTCAAGGTGTAGATGCTAACTGTTCCCGTAGCACACAGATTATACACATGTCGTTCTCTTCATGTCACCTGTCCCTCCTTGCCGGATCCACACTCAATTCCACGTTCACACATTCTTGCACATGTTATTTTATCTAATCTCGTGTCTTCTGTCAGCAGTTGTTCATATATGGTCTTCAGAATATCTCCCTTTTCCAGTATGAGTGTTCGCGTAGCTTTTGCTGTTGTCGCCAGAAAATCCACTCTTTGACCCCCTCACACTCCTGCATATCCTGGACAGTATATCCACGTGATCCCCTGCAATGCTGGTGTACTGATGCATGGTATCCACTCGTGCCACATTAGTCTATTTGGAACCCTTTGCAGTGGTGACTGAGAATCAGATACAATAACTGGTAACTTTGTTTTCTGCTATCAGAACTGCAGAAATTGCCTCCACTTCCATCCTCAAGCTTGACATAGATAATAAAGCTTCACTTTGTTTTGCCACAATTTTTCCCTTCATTCTAGCTGAAAATCCCCAGCCAGATCTTACGCCTCGATGAACAGAACCATCAGTGTACACATCATCTGGCCCAGTTTTTCCATTCATTAGTCGTTGTACCTCTAATTCTTCCACACCATTACACCACTCTCTACATTCTCTTCCTAAAGTGTTAACGACCTGATGGAAATTGCTGTTGTGGGTGTTTGTGTTGACCCATTTCTGCTCCCTGTGTATTTGCTTGACTGAGGTCATCTCAAAAGTATCTTCAGCCAGTGCCATCCATGACTTTCCTCTTTTAAACTGGTCTCCGCTTAAATCGTTCAGATTATCATGCAGCGGATGCCTTCCATCACTGGTAACTCACATACAGGCCTTGGCCTGCGCCAGTGACAGTCTAAACTTGACCAATGTAGGCCCAAGCATATACCTCATTGTTCTAACTGAGGTATTTCGTGTGCAACCCAGGCTGACACAAAAGAAGACAAACTCAAAGGACGTGTGTTCTCATTAAACAATTCCTTGACAGCTATAAATCAACAGCAGACCAGATGGACCACTCCTGAGAACAAATTCCAAATTAGAAAGGAACCCCCCCCCCCCCCCCCCCAATATGTGTGTGTAATGTTAGTATTTTCCCTGCAGGAGACAACATTCCAGTGTGGCTCTGATACATATCTCGATCCTCAATAATGGTGCTATTAACTTCATGCACTGTATTTAGATTCTTGTTGTGTGATCAACGAAAGGATACTGCAGCACACAGAGATTAGTATGTGTAAAGAAAAGTGATCTCTTATGAATTAAACCAAAACATGCATAATTTATTTATACCACATACACAGCCTAAGGAACACATTTTTTAATGAATGCTCACTCTTTGACAGTGTTGAGTGGCAACTGGAGTCCTCACTACTTTCAACATTAACATGCACGGTTCAATAGCAAAAAGTCATTCAATAGAAAATGTATTTAAAAAAAGGCACAATTAGGTGGCAAATACGACAGCCTTATTCTAAATCGCATTGGCCTGGGATCAGGAAATACAACCGTTTGAATAATGCGGAAACAATACACGACTTAATCTGGTACTTGGCAAATTTTGTGTGCTTCTCGTCAAGTGCATTGCTAGAGTTACATCATCCTACTTTCCACTGAAATACACAAACCTGTTTACGTTACCTCATGGAAGCCAAGACAATAAAAATGAAAATTTTGTTATGCAAGGAAAGAAAGAGCATGTTATAAATGTTAAATAACAGAGGCAATGACAAGACTAATCTTGAATTTCTAGTGGTGAGATTAAAGTGTAACTAGAGATTATGATTAGTTTATTTAAGTGGAAAGAATTACATTTTTTATGGCCACACTATATGTTATTATTATTCTTCATTCTTCAAGTTTCCCAGCTGTAAACTCTGGCGGAAAATTCTGGTTGTTCATACACCTCTGGACTTTTAGACTTGTTTCAGAACCTAGGTGTTGCGTGCATATCCATTTTACAGATCTGACTCATTTGTTAGGAGACTGTTGGTTCCTTGCCACTCAAGCAGATGCACTCCAACTTCGAAGGTAACCTCCAAATAAAATACTCTTATGACTTGCAGTGGGTCTTTTCTTGATTTTTCCACAATAGGGCCCTGGAACCTATATGGGAAACTATATGTTAATGTAACTTTAGTAATGCACCAGACGAGATCCTGCAAAATATGCCAGGCAATAAATTGTGCAATGTACTGTTCATGTCTGTATTTAATTTTACAATGTGAAAATACTGTTTCGAATACATCTGTTGTCCCCTTCTATCATCTGCAATGCAAAGAATTCCTTAACTTTTTTCAGCTAGAGCTAGTGGTTACTTCAACATTCCATCACAATTTGTGTACCTTAGAGCAACAATTTTAGTCTTAGGGAATTGAAAATACAACACTGGAATATGGGTTATAGTAACAATCAAAACAGAATGGGTTAGTGTAACAGAAGTATGGAACAGAGAGAGCGAAGAAAAGTGAACCACACAAAAAGTAACCAAAGAACGTACTGCGAGTTCCCTGATATGATATGGGAAGAGTGGAATCAAAAACGTATCAACTGCCGACATGTCTGTTTATGTCTGGACAAATTGTTTGCATAAGTAAACCCTGTCCCGCAGTGAGAACATACATATGATTTTCTCTTGAGATGGGAATTGATATGCCCCTGGTAATGAGTTTTATGCAGATATAGCCTGTTACAGAATGGGCATATATACTGTCCAGGGGAAGTGTTCATTCTGACTGGAAATGGTACTGCCTTACTAACATCTAGCCCACGACTGCCGACCTCAGCTCTTGAATAAACTGCAGACAAATGGAAGACAAAACAATAATCCAATGACAAAAATATGTCACAGTGTTTCCGATTAAAGAAAAATA